TGTATCTCTGTCTCTCTCTCTGTCTCTCTCTCTCTGTCTCTCTCTCAGTCTCTCTCTGTATCTCAGTCCCCCTCTCTCAGTCTCTCTCTCTCTCTCTATGTGTGTCTCACTCTGTCTCTGTCTCTCTCAGTCTCTGTATCTCTGTCTCTCTCAGTCTCTCAGTCTCTCTCTCAGTCTCTCTCTGTATCTCAGTCTCTCTGTCTCTCTCTCTCTCAGTCTCTGTCTGTATCTCAGTCTCTCTCTCTCTCTCTGTGTGTGTGTCTCACTCTGTCTCTGTCTCTCTCAGTCTCTATCTGTATCTCTGTCTCTCTCTCTCTCTCTCAGTCTCTCTGTATCTCTGTGTCTCTCAGTCTCTGTCTGTATCTCAGTCTCTCTCTCACTCTCGCCGCTCACAGGGAGGCCCCGCCCCGCCGCGCTCACCTCTCCGTGGCACCAGGAACCTCTCAGGAATCCTGTCGTCGCGTCTGCACACAGTGTCCGCCGCGGCCCGTGTCTGCTCCATGATGTCCTCCCGGCTGTCGTAGTACTGTTGGTCAGGCCGCCCCAGCTCCGTCACCGGCCGGAGCCCCCCACGGCGCCGTCGAACCCACATACTCCTCCTGGTTGTAGGTGTGTCTGACCAGGAGCCGCGCGCGCTCCGTCCCGTTGAGGGGACGACGCTCAAACTGCTCCAAGAAACGTGCTGTGGGGACACAAATGACGCTGTCACAGGGGCGGCCCCCTGGAAGACACTGCCAGCGACGCTGCCATCCGGGGCTCCCTGGCGGGGTGCGGGCTCTGGGAGCCTTGACCCGCCCCACCCGGAACCCCGACCACGTGCAGCCCAGGGGCTCATCCTCTGTCCTCCTGAGGCGGCCGCGGGCTGGGGGGCCAGGCGGGAAAACTGTGATACCCCGCTTTTTGCCAGCTAACACTAACTCTCCCTTTTCCTGGCTAAAATCTGTTCAGGTGTTACGTGAGCTTCTTGAGCCGGACAGGCTCCATCTTGGCTGCTTCGTGTCAGTATCTTTCTTCCCCTTGAGTGTGTAACTATAGTATAAGGCAAAGTCAGACTGACTCTGGCACCCAGAAACGCCTTTGCTGATAAGAGGCTGAGCTGAGTGGTATCTGCAGAGGCTGGAAATGCAGCTGCAGTGAGCGCCCACAGCCTGCCTTACCTGTAAGTTGTGTGTCTTTCATGACAGCTGTACTCCTCACACCTGGCACTGTTTTACTTCCTGTGTATCAGTTTTTCTTTTTAACTTTTTGCTTACTCTGCTTTTATGAAAATTTTGTTTTAACTAGGTTTCCCTCTTTCCTGTAAAAACTAGTGTCTAAAAGATCACCTAACTTTTTCTTCGGTCCGACAGAATTTTGGGCGTTAGCCACTCTGAGTCGCTGGCTTAATAAAGGATTCATAATTCCTTCTCAGAGTGTGGTACATTCCTTGATTCGCTCGAGTACAACAAAATCACCTGCGATCCCAAGTCTTGTGGGACTCTCTCCCTACCTCCAGCCTGTTCTGGAGACCTCCAAGCAGGAGGTGGAGGAGGATCCGCCCCGCATCGCAGCCCACACCACCCTCTCCTGGGAGCCTCCACCCCAAAGAAACTCTCTGCCCCTTCTCTCATCCCACAGGCTTTACCCATTTCTTCAACAGCCCCCATGGCGTTCACCCTGTGAACACTTCCTTGGTGATAACCTTGTGCCAGTCCTGCGCTGCCTCTAGGAATCCAAACAAGGGAAACAGACCTCTCCACTCCGCTGAGGGAGCTTAAAGAGCAGTGAATGATGGCCAAAACTCAACACACAGGAGCTTACACAGGAATGAGAAATGTCAGAAGTGTGGATTCTAGAGCAGAGAATAATAGGATGATCTCCATCCGGGTGCCAGAGAAGGACCCTCTGAAGAGTGACAGCTCAGATGTGACTTGACAGGTCAAGCAGGTGTGAGCCACGGGGCAGAGGGGATCCTGTGTGTTTGTTTGGATAAAATGGGAGGCACATTTCAGGTTTAACAAATACCATGTACAAAAGCTTGAACTGATGAACTTCTTTAAAAAACTAGAATAGAGTTCACTAAAGCAGAGAGGCTGAGGGGAAGGAGGGTAAAAGATTAGACGTAGAAATCACAAGAAGCCAGGTATTTAAAAGCCTCATGCATGGTGTTAGGATTTTGGAATTATACTAAAGACAATGGGAAAGTATGGAAGAGTTTCAAGGAGAATAAAACCATGATCCCCGTAAATGTCCGCAAACCTTCCTTTGCGTTTCCAAATCCACAGACTCAGAAATTCGGTTAAAAGAAATCTGTTCCCAAAACTCACTTGGCAAATCTCATCTGATAAGTTTAAGGGGTCAAAGTGGTCTCAGAGCTCTTATTGGTGACATGTCCTTCTGTAGTTTCAATACATATAAACATAAATGCATATATGTGTATAAATATACACATACATAAAACAGTGTGTATATACTTTTGATGTTTTTCTCTTTTCTTTGAAGTGTGAAATTGATGAAAATTACTTTAAAATAATCCTGTGGTTATGTGACATGGTAATTGCCCCATAAATTGCATACCTCGACCTACCTGGGCTTTTCATTGAAACTTCCCTCTGTAACACTAATGTGACAGGCAAGCGGTCCCAACCCATGCCATCTTGGTCCCTGTGACTTGTAATAAGTAACTAAGGTCTGTAATTTCCACCCTACCCAGACATTGTGTAAACTAAGGCTTATCTTGACTTCTGTGAACCACTTAACTAACAATCAGAATGGCCAAAGCCCCCCATTCCATAAGCCACCTTCAACCCAGAAGGTGGCTTACGGAATGTCCAAAGTCCACTGGCCCTCAGAATGTCTGAAGCCCCTCACCCTCAACCCTGCCCAGGAGGTGGTTTATGGGCATAAAAGGTCTTGACACCCTCCTTTTGGGCCGCGGTTAGAGAGACACCAGTCCTCCGTGGCTGCGGGCAATAAAGACCCTGTAATTTGGCCCAGTCTTTGTCTCAGTGGTGATTTCGCACTCACTCGGTTACAACAGTTAAAAGTGAAACTAATAGCTAGAAGCATTTTACATTGTGAATAATATCAAATAGAATCGGTACAGAAATCGGAGGCAGGTTAGTGAAAAATTGCAGCAGCATCACTGTTTGTGACTTAGAAGGGCAAGTTGTTGGAAGATAATAGAGAGAGTGATGACCAACAACTCATGAAAATGTTGAAAAATACTGCATAAGACAAAAAATAAATATGAAGGTATTGAACTTGCACTGACCAAATGGATTCAACAAGAAAGTGGTTAAATTTATGCAACTCTTCAGTTTTTTAATAATCAAACAAGCAAAAATAAACCATAAGAAACTGAAATAGGTGATGAGTGTATAAATGATGTGAGTCTAGAATTTTCAGGAAGAGCACAGTGTGAACCAGTGCTCTCAGCCTCAGCACTATTGACATTTTTGAGCCGATAATTATTTGTTGGTTATGGAGGTTTTTCTCAACATTGCAGGTTCTCTAGCAGTGTCCCTGGCTTATGCTCATTAAGTATCAGAAGAAACCCCTTTTGTGACAACCAAAAATTTTTCCAAACATTGCCACATATTCCCTAACAGTGATGGGAGGGAAGGGAGAGGTGGTGAACCTTTCCTGGGTAAGAACCACGGGCGTGAACCATCTGAAAAAATCAGTGTTGAACAAGTCACTATTAGTTATGGAGTAGCTGAGAATTACATTGAAAAATATCTGTTGAAAATCTTGGTCCTACATAAAATGAATGTTTTATAGAATTCTGGTCCCAGTATAGTGCTCTCTTTCCAGAAAATGAACTTGTTGAGAATCAAGATTTACTGATTATTTTTTCAGCCTTATCAATCAATCACTAAATCATATCATTTATCTTTCATATTATTTTCTTTCTTAATTTCTCTGCCACTGGTCCACTAATTATCTGTAGTAATGAATCACAACCACAACTATTTTATTCCCATTTAACGTCCCAACTAACGCATTTCTTTCAGTCTCCCATTCCCAGCAATACCAGCAGGCATCAAATTACCAGTTTTTGCCAGAGGTAGAATTGTCAGTTTTGTAGTCAAGTACCCCCAGAAAAGGGGAAACCAAGAAAATGACATTCTCATGCAGACAATTTGCAGAAAACGAGCAGGTCCCCAGACTTTGAGTAAGATGTTCTTTTCAAAGCTCCCTTTGCCCTTTATATATAATATCAGAGAGGAGTGCATCCTGGATCAAACAATGTGTATCTTTTTATTCTTAAATTATCTGAGCACTTTCTTTATAGAAAGAAAATTAAAAATTAAAAAAGCGTGAAGTCACTGTCACTGTGGCTTGCATGGTTAGTCCTGTAACCCCTGCTCATGTGTCCCACTTAGGGTTGACAGATTTGGCAAATAAAACCAGAGGATGCCCAAGTAAATCTGGATTTCCTATAAATTATGGTTGTGCATCTGAAATGCAGATTTATCTAGGAACCTGTATTTATGGTTTGGCAATGCTAGTCCAACTTTCTAGTCAAATCTCAGAAGAAGGAGTGATTTATTACTTCTCTGTGTTCTTCATGATATGCCCATGATAGACATATACAACTTTTCAAATGGTAAATGCAAAATGAATGAAAGTTTCTCCTTTACATTGGAACTAGCAGCCCTTGGATTTCTGCTCCCATTCTAAGAAACAACATGGTACATATGAATATTAGAAATTTTGTCAATAATTCAGACACAATGTAGTTACTACTAGATTGATGGACAGATTCTGATATATAGCATTAGAAAATCTGAGTGGCCGCATGACCTCTTCTACTTGGGTCCGTTTTTACCAATCATAATCTTTTCTGTAATCTATCAAATACATTGAATAATAGCATAGTCCTCACGGGATGATTGTTAAGTGTAAAATTAGTTAATGACTCTTCTTAGCACTAATCACATAAGAAACACTGAAATATATTACAATTTAAATATTTCTGATCCCTATAACTGCAGCTGACATTAGGTTTTCTTTCTTGATTCTAAAGCAATTAGTATCTTCATCATGATTTTGCAGTTCTCTTCTGCTCTTCTATTAGTATCATAAAGAATTCTCCTTCTTAAAACACAGGGCAGAAACACGGGTTTATGTCTAATAAAGCAGTATATCTAAACAAACTTCACACAAAAAGCATCTGCTGACATACAAGCAAGGGACTTGACTTTCTACATGCTTAGATTTAAACTGCAATCTGATTTTCTCTAGCACTGGATTTGTAATACAGAGTTTTACTTATGCCCTCTCAATTTTAGATTCCAGAGATGTATATGTTTTTAAACACTACAGATACAACAGGATCATTATTGAAATTGCATATGGAAATTCATAGGCCTGGTACACAGTCACTGCAAATTGTTACATGGCATATATTGATGGAGACCAGATTCATTTTTATCATTACTCCATTCTCATGACCTAGAGTAATAACTGGTATATTCTAAGTCACTAGTAAATATGGGCTGTGTGAAATATTGGCTGTGTGACATTGTGCATGAACAGTCACCACTGCACATGGGGCCCTCTAGTATTTCCTTGCCACTAGTGACTGAGCGTCTCTGGTTCACAGGTGCTCCTGCTTCTCTTCAGCCCCTTTAGCCTTTCCTTTAGATCCAGCTGGCTCCCTGAGCTCAGCACAGTCTTTTCCTGAAGCTCACTACTCAAAAGAGTCAACCTTAACCTCGCCCTCACTTCTGCTCTCTCTTCAAATGGTCCAATCCATTTTCCGCCCTGGATCCTCCACTGACTGCACATTATCAACTCCAGCAATTGCCATTGCAGTCCAGCCTCGGCAACAAGAATAAAACTCCATCTCAAAAAATAAATAGATAAATAAAATAAAGAAAAATAAATAAAATAAAATAAAATTCAAATTTCTTACCATGGACATCAGTGCCTGATATGATGAGGCTCCTGACTCCCTCTCTGTGCCCTACCTCATCTTCTGCCTTTCCATTTCCTTGCTTGCTATGCGTCAGTCCCTGTAGCCTTCTGTCCCTGCAGATAACTTCCCACATCAGGGCTTATCCCCCAATTCTGTCTCCCTGGAACTTTTGTCCCTTAGATCTTTTTGTCCCTTAGATCTTCTCCCTGTCCACTTATTTTGTTGTCTCAGCTAAATGTCACTTTCTCAGGTAGAGCTCCCTAAACATATGAACTAAAGTTGGGTGAACCATTTCTCTCTTTTTACAAACCTGATGTCTTTTCTTCACTAGTCAAGTGCACTATGACTTTCTAACATTTTCTTTTTTTTGAGGGATGACATCTCACTCTGTCACCAGGCTGGAGTACAGTGGTGTGCTCTCGGCTCAATGGAACCTCTGCCTCCTTGGTTCAAGCGATTCTCCTGCCTCAGCTTCCCAAGTAGCTGGAACTACAGTCATGTGCCACCTCGCCCAGATAATTTCTGTATTTTTTAGTAGTGATGGGATTTTATCATGTTGACCACGATGGTGTTGATCTCTTGACATAATGATCCACCCACCTCGGCCTCTCAAAGTGCTGCGATTACAGGAGTGAACCACTGTGCCTGGAATACTCTCTTAACATTTTCTCCTTTGTTAAATCATTATTGAGTTATTGTCTATATCTCCACTGTTGTGTAACTTCCTTGAGAGTAGGGGCCCTCTCTGTCTTAATCTGATAGAATGATTTGAACCTCGAATGTAGACCAGTAAACAGTTGCTTTTGAGAAAAATAAATGTGGTTTACATGAATAAACCAGGGTCTGGAACTGATCACTGAAGGGGTCCTGGAAAGCAAGAAGGGGCTGAAGCTCCAGCACTCTTTCATTTTGATGTCACACTATTCCCCTTCCTCTCCCAGTGAGAAATACAGGCAAACTTCTTCTTTCTCCTCCTTCTACTTAAAAGAAGGATTTATAGATATAGAAAGACTGACTTAAGAAAAAGCCTTTCTTAAAAATTAAGATTCATCTCATTTTGCCTGGGTGCAGTGGTTCACACCTATAATCCTAGCACTATGGGAGGCCAAAGCAGGAGGATCGTCTAAGTCCAGGAATTTAAGATCAGCCTGGGCAACATAGCAAAATCTCGTCTCTACCAAAATTACAAAAATTAGCTGCGCATGATTTCCTGACTGTAGTCTCTGCTATTCTGGAGACTGAGGAGGCAGGATCACTTGAGCATGGGAGGCAGAATTGCAGTGAGCCTAGATAGCACAATTGCACTATAGCCTGGGTGACACAGCCAGGTCCTGTATCAGGAAGGAAAAAACAATCTCTTTCAATGGATCTCATAATGCTAAGGGTTTGTGCAAGCTTTGGGGATTTCTGGAAATTATGACAATATATCTGGGGAAAAATAGAGAGAAACTGGAGGAAGAGGTAAGCAGACATGGCTAATTAAGGAAAGCTGAGGACACAATGGGTGAACCTATGAACAAGTAAGAACAAGACACAAGTAAGACAATGAGTTCCCAGGAGTTGCTCACTGACCTTCAGCCGTATGCCATGTGAACAACGTGCACATTCTCTCTGTAACCCCACACAGAGTCTATAGTAGAATATTATAAAATTTCTGATATCTGACTACTTTTGACTTACAAAAATAGAATTTCATATAATTTATACTGCATTCGTTGAATGTCATTGTGTGGAGTCTAGTAAGAGCATGTAGGAGATGTACGAGAAATTAGTACACAAAGGTTAAAAAAGATTCGTAATAAACACTAACTTGGGCCAGGTTTTCAGAGGATGCCTTAAGTTCTGTAGGCACCAAAGAACATCCCATGGTTGCTCTTTATCTGAAGGGTGATGCCAAGTATCAAAGAGCTCAGCTTCAGTTCCAGGGATTACTTTCCCATAAGAAAGGAAGAGCACTACGTATATACCTTTTGTCAGATAACCTACATGTGCTACAGGGATACAGGCTTTATAAACATTGCGGTTCAGAAAGAAAAGAAAGGAGATGATGGGGAGGCCCCTGGGTACAGCCTCACAGATGAGGAAGAGGGTCAAATACCACAGGACCTTTTGAGAACATAATACAGGGTCGTCTAGGACAGACTCTTCGAATTCCATTGACTCACACAAAATATTTAGAAAAAAACCCTCCTTTTGTCTGACATAAGTCAACGTAATAAACGGAAGTGCTGTATGGGAAATTATTTTAGCATCCTTATTTCTAAATCCTCTATAGACCCTGATGAAATGTGATGCAAGCTTTTATTGTTGGAAACTGGAAAAGAAATGGCCTGTATTGTGACCCATTACACAAGTCTCATGAAGAGGGCAAGTTGTCAAGCTCCTTTCTGTGGTGGAAATAATTTGGTATCCATATGATAAAGATGGAGACGGACAATCCCTGAAGAAAACGTCACAATTTCTTAAGGGATATGGCCTGGGCACAGTAACAAATTTAGCTCCCTATTTTACCCACCTCATAGTAGCTCAGTACCCACAATGTGCACTTTCGTCGGGAGTCCCCAGCCAAAGCCAGTGGGGAGCTCAGCGCCATTAGTGTCACTGTCAGCGCTGCCATGAAGGAGCCTCAAGGCAGCCTCAGACACACCATTCTGGACAGGAGGAGAGAACCAGGTGTCAGAGAAGCAAGCAAGCCTCATTCAGTGAGATTTATGACCTCCCTCAACTCACATCGCCAAAATAGGGAGTAAGTTACTCATTTCTTTGTTCCTGGATTGGGTAATCTCATGTTGGGGAACCAATCAGCATCTGAGTTCAATAGCATCATCAGTTGCTGGTCAGAGATGCAGTATGACGGTCCTATTCTGAAACAATTTTCTTCTTTAAAGGATTGTTTTAATTTAGTACTT